ATATTTGAAGAATATTCAATATTCTAAATAAAACTCAATAGGTTTTACATGTATGTCCTTTTTTTAAATTGTAATATATATTTTTTATTTTCAAATTCCTTTCATTTCGTAAAAAGTATTTACGCATTGCAGACAATTTTGAAAAGGTGACATTCTCGATGAATAAAAATCTCCACGCTATTCTCGTTCCTTCATCCATGACGGTCGTAGCAAGTAAGCTACCGAAGAAACTGAAAAACACACCGGGACCACCCTGGATGATTCCGTAGATAATCTTCCGAACATCATTGGAATGAATTTACGTATCGCGTTCGCCACGGATCCCAAGGGCAATACACGTTTGTGGATCCTTCGAGTGCTTCATTACTTTTTTCTAGCCCAACGCACGATGAATGACTTAATTCTCTCTAAAGATAGAGACAGAAAGCCGCGATGCGATAACAGAGGCAAGAACGAAGAAGAAGACGTGAAAGAAGAGGATTGGAGCGCGTAATACGTGGCCACGTCCTCTTTCGTAAGATCGAGAAGCGGAGATGACGCCGTGAGTGGCGTAGCAAATTACTGAGATGCCGCCCGGGAAAATCAACAATTGGCCTTCCTTTAATTCAAAAAACACACACAGCGTGTTCTGTTCTGTTCTCTCTTGGCTAAATCCGTCTTTTTCTTAACTCTTTTTTCGTAATACTCTCTCTGTCGCGATACTCGTCTCTTTCAGATTTACCTCAATTCTCATCTGAAAATAATGACAATGAAAGACGCGATTAAAGATTGTGTGTGTGTGTGTGTGTGTGTGTGTGTGGAACTAGAATTTTTTTACAATTTTCTTATCTTATTATCTATAATACAAAAATTCTCTTCTATTTTCAGATTACATAATAGTAGCAACATCATATCAATAATACGATAAAAAATATATTGTGTATATTATTATATTAATTAATATGTTAACTTAATATGTTATAATAAACATATATAATAACATATATAATAAACATATGTTATAATAAGAAAAAAACTGATTGTATAATCACGCATATTATTAAAGATTGA